CAATTTTAACAAACCTTATAACTTATATTCGATTGTTGAACACTGAATTAGATCACATGGGTTAGTTCAGTTACGATTCGGGGTCCATAATTGTGACTAGGAAAATAGGGGAAATAGGGCTGAGATTCAGTCTCACCCTATCCCGCTCTGGCGGAAGGAATCCCACACTGGCGGCTTCACCTTGGTGGGAAAAGTCCTGCCCCAGCGGCCAAAATGAAAATAGAACCCACGCAATAATTTTTTCTGGGGTTCTTCTCTTTTCTAAATCTCCCAACGGTTTTCAGCTTTACTGAGCAATTTATGATAATCCTTTGAACTAGGATAATCATTGTCTACCCCGAGTCAATCCAACAATACACAATCCAACTCATTCTCATTAATCTGACACCATAACCCACATATCCCCAGGATAGACCCAGACTCTTACACGGTTATCAGTTGGTAGCAACGCAAGTTCATATTTCTTACTTACAAACCACATCGTAATTTATCTAGACCCTTACACCTAATCTCATGATGAATTTCTTTTCACAACAAGTTTCACAATACTCAAGCAGTTACAACTTGTAGATAAGTCTAAATTCTTTAATTAGTTCGTTACATAGACCATCCTTACTAATCATCTATGCCTTATACAACCCCTAATGCCAGCTACTAATTGGAATCTTATCAGTTCCAATTAACTTGCTCGTGTCCCTTCAGCTGGGACTACGACGTCTAGTTCGCTTCGTTGAGATACTAATTGGAATCGAGAGATACCAATTGGACTCAACTCATACCACAAACGACAATAGTCGCTAGCGAGCCCCAAAAAACTGCTAATTTCAATCACAGAACTTGGTTGAACCTAATTTTTAACTGCCTCAATCTTTAACTGATGGTAACTAGACCTTAAATCAATCTTAGAGAAAACTGATGCAGCTTGCAATTGGTGAAAAGGGTCATCTATTTGAGGAAATGGACACTTGTTCTGAATGGTGACCCTATTCAACTGTCGGTAGTCTATACACATCCTCTCTTGCTAGTGATGGTGTTACAAATTTTGTTGCTCTAGTTCAGACCATAGAGTGAAGGAGGAAAGATAATAATTTGTATCACCCAGATACCAATTGGATTCAAGTCATTGCATAAAGGAGTAGAAAGAAGAGAGTTTTTCCTAAAGTCCTATAGCATCTCGAAGAAAAGTACGGACGTCATCATACCGTTCCACCAGACTCTACTAGACTCGTTTTATTACAATGAGATCAGTGAACCTAGGGCTATGATATCAACTTTGTCACAACCCAGACCGTCGTGATTAGCACCCATACTAACCCTCTGGTGGGAGAACCATTACTATAACCCAAACTAATAAATTTTATGAAAACTAAGGCATTTAAAGATACAGAAACAGGTTTAAATAATATAAAAAATGGAGTCCTCATAAACTCCAATGTTTTAACAAACAACTAACCAACTAATACGAAAGAACAACCCCTATAACCTGAAAGTCATTGTACCAAAACTCTACTAACGACAAGTCTAAGAAAAAGGGGTACAACCTCAAAACTAAACAATACCTTGAACAAAAGTCTAAGTCCAGAAAGAGTGAACTTAAACAAGAAAGATCCATGTCAGCTTGAAAGAACTGGCTCACCCTTGATTCCGGTCACGCTCAATAGTCACTTAGCTGAGGTCTATCATTGTCGCATCAAGATTCCCTGTACTCAAAAAAGGACAAGCAAGTGCAGTATCAATACACAACCATAGTGTACTGGTAGGGTCACATAACTATCCCAATAAGTGAAACACATGCAAGTAACAACAACATTATAAAATAGGCATATACCGAACATATATAATATTCTCCATAATACACTTAGGTTATCAATTTAGAGGAACATACAATCTTCAAATAGCAATCATCATTAGATATGAACGTAATCATCACAAGTAGATACACAATACAATTCAATAATTCTCCAACAGAACCCAATTCAATGGTCCTCTCACAGAACCCAATTCAATGGTCCTTTCATGAAACCCAATCCAATATTTATGCTAGAACATGTCAACCGATCCCATATTTATGCCAGAACACAGCAACCGATCCTATACTTATGCAGGAACGTGGCAACCGATCCTAGTTAGTATGTCGGATCGTGACACCCACCCATTCAACAAACCACAATCATAATCAATGTATATTCTCACAATCATATAACAAGAGGTGATTCATGAAATACAATTATTCAATTATCCTTATTTACGATTAAGGTGATCAATAATGCATTATTCACATACATACATGCATTATAATGAGAAATTAAAAACATATATCACACCAACATGAAATAACAACCATCACCTACCTCTAAACAAGCTTGTAACCCTAAGAAACTTGATCCTTCCCTTTCCGGATTCGTTTTGCTAGTTCTTGGTCTACAAACAATCATTATAATACGGGAATCAATAAACAATCATTAACTACCCGAATTACTAACATTCTATGAACCCTAGATCAAACCCGTGATCCCAATTATCCAATTTAGTGTTATTTTCACCATAGAATCTAAAACAAAGCCATACCCCATCAATATTTATCCATTCTATTATGCTTTAGTGATCGAAAAATGGATTTGAGGAGTGAAAAGATTACCTTTAGCCTGCAAAATGGTGAAAAAGGGCTAGGAATCATCTGGGGTTCATTATTTAGCTTTGAAAATCAAAAAGGGCATAATAAGGTTGTTTAGGGGTTTATTACCGAGCTTAAGTCGCATCGAGCCCGCCACAACGTCCCTCACCCCTACTGCAGCGGCCCTGCCAGAGTGACAAAAAGCCCCGCCAAGACGGCTTGCACGAACCAGTGAGCTCTTTAAAGAATTCCAAAATCCCCATTTTACAACACACCATCATACCATAACACGTAGAAAATACCCGTTCATGCTAAAATCAGTTTCACGAGTTCTACAAACCCGAATTCAATTACGTAAAGTGGTACGGCTTCCTTAATGAGTTATAGAACCACTCATGTGATCAAATTCACAAATATGTCACCCAATTGTTACTAGATTTCCCTAGACCTCACTGACTCCAATTTTGTCCAAATCTGGACTAGGTTAGGAAATCTCAAGTTACTACAAAAAAGTTTTCTGGCGCCAATTGTTTCCCCATTGGCTTTTCCATAACAACAGAAATTAGGTCATTAAAAGGTAGTTTGTAAGTGTCGTGGGCTGAAAGTGTGTTTTCAAATGGGAGTTTGGAGATCTAAATTTGATATTCTGCTTCAATGCAAGCAATTGTGGTGGGTGGGGGCCGCCATACCGGGACAGTCGCGATTTAAGTCAGAAATAAACCCCAAAATCATTTTCTTCTGCACTTTTCAACTTTGAGAGTTAGGAGATGGTCCCAGACGAGTTCTTGACCCTTTTCTAACATTCCTAAGGCTAAAGATAATGTTTTAACTCCCCGAATCCATTTTTCGATCCGTAGAATGTAAAATAGTGTTTAATTATCAATGGGGGAGGGTTTTGATCTGAAAATTATGGTGGAAAAAACCCTAATCTGGGTTTGATGTAGGGTTGATATTATTGGTTAGAATTTGGGTAATTGGATATTATTTATTGATCATCAATTATTATGATTGTTTGTAGACAAGAACAAGCATAAATAATTCGGAAGGGGAAGAATCAAGTTTCTTAGGGGATTCAAGCTCTGTTCAAAGTAGGTGATGGTTGTGATTTTACGTTGTGCGATATATTTTTGTTCTTGCTTCATTATGATGCATGTATGTATGCCAATGTTGTATTATTGATCAGACAAATTATAAATGAGGATAGTTGAATGATTGAATGCCATGAATCATGACTTAATTCTATGATTATGAGAATATGCTTGTGATTATGATTGTGCTTGTGATTGTGGCTTGTTAAATGGATCAGTTATTGTGTTTCGACACACTAACTAGGATCGGTTGCCATGTACCAGCATAAATATTGGAACAGGTGTCACGATCCGTCACACTAACTTGGAACGCGTACCACTTACCGGTACACAAACAGTTTGGGTGTGGGTTCCGTGAGAGGACCATTGAGTTGACATAAGTGTGTAATTTGAGAATTGTGAACTTGATCGTTAGTCGTAAATGATATTGACATTGTATATGTTCGGTGTATGCATGTTATTATTATGTTGTAATTGCTTATATATGTTGCACTTAGTGGGATAGTTGTGTCATCCTACCAGTACACGGTGGTTGTGTACTAATATTGCACTTGCTCTTTCATTGCTATGTACATGGCATCTTGCGGCGGCTATTGAGAGACCTCGTTAAGAAGATCAGTGATCGTTCAAATTCAAGGGTGAGCCAGTTCATCTAGGCTTCCATGAGTTCTCTTTTTGTTTATGTCCCCATTTCATACTTAGACTAGTGCATTAGGATTTCTTATGTTTAATTGTGTTGTATCCATTTTCTTAGACTTGTTGAACTTTAGATGTTTTGGTACATTGACTTTTAGGTTCTAGGTATAATTCGTTGAACTTGATGTACCAAAACGAGTCTAGTAGAGTCTTGCAGAATGGTATGGAGAAGTCTGTACTTTTCTTCAACAGTCTATAGGACTTTAGGAAATTTCTCTGTTTTCTCTTGTCTCCTTTCATGCTATAACTTGATTGCAATTGGTATTTGGTGATCCGAATTGGTATCTAATCTCCTCACTCTTATGTCCACAGATAGTTAACACTAGGTTCAACGGTGTCAGCCCGTAGCTCCCGTCAACTCTCCAGCTGAGGAACCTGTAGCAAGATGTTGCCGTCAAGGTAGGGGTAGAGAAAGAGCTAAGGGTAGAGTCTGAGGAAGGGTGGCGCCTAATAGGGATGGAGCACCGGTTGGAGATACTACTAGAAATGAGGCCTATCATGCGCACCATGAAGAGGTAGAGGAGAATGTTGGACAAGAGGAAGAGGTACAAGCTGAGACTATATGTATTCCTCCCTAAGACCTAGTGTTAGCTCAACAAATCATGTCGTTCTTGAAAGGATTGGTTACTACTGGAGTGCTTCCCACTGTTCAAGCAACTCAAGCTTCCCCCAATCCCCCTATTGCTATCACTATCCCCAAGGTGGGTGGAACTGTAAGTAACAATGCTTTCTTCTGTCCTTTGTTGAGTCCTGTTATGACTGATAATGAACATGATATGTTGACTAAGTTCTTGAAATTAAAACCGCATGTGTTCCATGGTTGTGAGAGTTAGGCCACATATGAGTTCATTTTAGATTGCTATGAGAGGCTTCATAAGTTGGGAATTGTCCATCAGCACGACGTTGAGTTTGTGACTTTTCAACTTCATGGTGAGGCTAAGCAGTGGTGGAAATCTTATGTGGAATGTAGATATTCAACTTTACCCCCACTTACTTGGACCCAGTTTCATGCTTTATTTTTGGAGAAATATATGCCTCGAACCTTGAGGGATCGTAAGAAGGATAAGTTCATGGCTTTGGAGCAAGGTGGTATGTTTGTGGCTGCTTATGAGGAAAAGTTCCATGCTTTGTCTAGATATGCTACGCAATTGGTGACTACTGAGGAGGAGAGGATCCTATTATTTGTTAAGGGACTAAACTCTAAGTTACAGGTATTGTCTGTTCACATAACCTCTGTAGGAAAAAGGTTCAATGAGGTAACAGATTTGGTGAAGAAAGTGGAAGGGGTGAGGTGAGACGGTCAGGCTAAGGCAGTGGCTAAGAAAGCCAAGAATTTAGGCAACTTTCAGGGTGCTTACTCTAGAGGTTCAGGAAGGCCGACTCTTGTAACTCGACCAAATCAGTCTGCTATGCCCGCTTCTACAAGTAATTACTCCAGAACATCACCTCAGAATTTGATTCAAGATTGCCAGGGAGCCACACCTTCGGTGGGCAGCAGGCCATCTTTTAATCGTACTTGTTACAACTGTGGAGAATCTGGGCATATGAGCAGAGATTGTCCCCACCTGTGCATGTCGGATTTCGCATAAGAGCAGTCTAGAGAGTGGTACCCGTGGGAAATGGTACTAAATGGTCGAGGGCATTCATAATGTTGGTAAGAAGGGAATCAATGAAGCCGCTGAGGTAGGGGAAATGGTAAAGAAAGCAGAGGTGCAGTGCAGTCAAGCAGACAAGTCGCCCATCAAAATGACAAGGCTCAATGTTATGCCTTTTCGGGCAAGACAGAGGCGGAGGCATCTGAGGCAATGATAACATGTACTATTCTTAACTGTGACCGAATGACTAATGTGTTATTTGATCCGGAATCTACTTATTCTTATGTGTCCTTGTGATTTGCCACAAAATATGTTATGATTTGTGATATACTTGATGCCCCCATCCATGTTTTTGGAAGATTCAGCCATAGTCACCCATGGTTATCGTGATTGTCCTATTTCTTATATGGGTTTCCAGACTTAGGTTGATTTGGTGATTTTGGATATTACTGACTTTGATTCAATCTTAGGGATGACTTGGTTGTCCCCCAATTATGTTGTGTTTAATTGTAATACTAAGTCTGTGACTCTAGAAATTCTGGGAAGGGAAAAGTTATAGTGGGAAGGGGGTACAAGCCTAAGCAAGCTAAGATCATATCCTCCATTTGGGTTAGGAAACTGGTAGGGAAGAGTTGTTTGGCTTATTTGGCTCATATTCGGGATGTTGAGGTTGAGTCACCATCTATTGAGTCCATCCATGTGGTGTCAAAACTTAGAGAAATGTTTCCTACTGATTTGTCTGCTATATCTCTGGATAGAGATATAGATTTCTGCATTGATTTTGAACCTGGTACCCGCCCCATTTATATCCCTCCATATCGCATGGCTCCGACAGAATTAAGAGACCTTAAGGCTCAAATACAAGAACTTCTTAATAATGATTCATTCGTCCTAGTGCTTCCCCGTGGGGTTCTCATTTATTGTTTGTTAAGAAAATCGATGGTAGTATGAGGATGTGTATAGATTACCGACAATTGAATAGGGTCACCATTTAAACAAGTACCCATTGCCTAGGATAGATGATCTTTTTGACCACTTGCAAGGCACATCAGTTTTCTCTAAGGTCTGGTTACCATCAGTTAAAGATTAGGCCTGAGGATGTGCCTAAGACGATGTTTAGAATCTGCTATGGGCACTATGAGTTTCTAGTTATCTCGTTTGGGTTTACAAATGCACCTGTAGCGTTCATAAGTTTGATGAATAGTGTGTTCAAACCATTTCATGATTCGTTTGTCATAGTCTTTATTGATGATATATTGGTTTATTTGAAAAGTGAGAAAGAACATGTCGACCATCTTTGTTTTGTTGTGAATGTTTTTGGGAAACAAAAGTTGTATGCAAAATTTTCTAAGTGTAAATTTTGGTTTACTTTGGTTGCCTTTTTGGGGCATGTGGTATCAAAAGAAGGGCCAATGGTAGATCCGCAAACGATTGAGGCGGTTAAGAATTGGGTTCGTCCTAGTTCTTTTGATGGAAGTTAGGAGTTTTGTGGGGCACGCTAGCTACTATCGTCGATTTGTGAAAAACTTTTCTTCTATTGTGACACATTTGACAAATTTGACCAAATAGGAGATAACATTTGAATGGACTGAAAAATGCGAGGAGAGCTTTCAAAAGCTCAAGAGTCTTTTACCCACCGTACCTATTCTAGCACTACCCTTTGAATGTAAGGATTTTATAGCTTATTGTGATGCTTCATATTCGGGTTTGGGTGCTGTGTTAATGCAGGATAAGAATGTTATAGCTTATGCATCACGACAGTTGATGGTGCATCAGAGGAATTATCCAACACATGATTTGGAGTTGGCAGCGGTAGTGTTTACTCTTAAGATCTGGTAGCATTATCTTTATGGTGGCAAGTGTAAGGTGTTTACTGATCATCGCAGTGTACAACATGTATTCACTCAAAAGGATTTGAATTTGAGACACATAAGGTGGATGGAGTTACTTAAGGATTATTATGTCACCATTCAATACTATTCGGGCAAGGCTAATGTAGTGGCTGACACTTTGAGTCGAAAAACGGTGATTATGGGTAGTTTAGCTTGCTTTAGTGTAACTAAGCGACCTTTGGCTAAGGAAATCCAGACCTTAGAGTCTGAATTCATGTAGTTGGGCATCTCAAAAAAGGGTGGGGTGTTAACTTCCATTTAGGTTAGGGCCACGTTCATTGAGGAGATCAAGGCCAAACAATTTGAGGATAAAAATTTGAATGAGCTTAGAAAGAAGATTGTGATTGGTAAGGCAAAAGACACCACTCTTAATGCGGAAGGTATGGTCAGTTTCAAAGGAAGGATTTGTGTTCCTTGAGTCAATGACTTGATTCAAAAATTGTTGACAAAATCCTATGGCTCACGATATTCTATTCATCTGGTGTGACTATGATGTACTGAGATTTGAAGAGAGTTTATTGGTGGCCTGGCATGAAGAAAACCTGCAGGTTTTCTTCAAAGAATACAAATTCCAGAATGTAAGTGGGAAAGGATTGCTATGAATTTCGCGATTGGTCTTCCCAAGACTTTGAGGATGTTTGATTCTATTTGGGTAGTGGTTGACATATATTCTAAGTCACCCCATTTTATTCCGATCAGAATAGATTATAATGTTGAACAATTGGCTAAGGTTTATGTGAATGAGATAGTGAGGTTGCACGGGGTGCCCCTTTCTATCTTCTCAGACCGTGGTACGCAATTCACATCCAAGTTTTGGAGGAAGTTACATGATGAATTGGGCACAAAACACACTTTTAGCACAACTTTCCATCCACAGACGGATGGGCAGTCAGAGAGGACTATTCAAGTGTTAGAAGACATGTTGAGGGCATGTGTGATTAATTTTGGAGGACTTTGGGATAAGTTTCTACCATTGTGTGAGTTCTCCTATAATAATAGTTATCACTCCAGCATTGATATGACACCATTTGAGGCACTTTATGGGAAGGGATGTAGACCACCCATACGATAGTACGAGGATGGAGATGTGAAACCTTTGGGGGTTGATTTAGTGAAGGATGCTCAATATAAGGTGATGAGTATTCAAGCTAAGTTGTTAGTATCCCAGAGTAGACAAAAGACGTATGCAGACCATAAGGTAAGAGACATGGCATTTTATGCTGGGGAGAATGTTCTTCTTAAGGTATCACCCATGAAAGGGGTGATGATATTTCTCCAAGGAGGGCAAGTTAAGTCCATGATACATTTGTCCCTTTGAGGTCATTGAATATGTAGGCCCATTGGCTTATAGATTGGCTTTACCTCTTAACCTATTAAGAGTTCATCCGGTATTTCATGTGTCCACGTTGAAGAGATATCATGGTGACGGGGATTACATCATAAAATGAGACTCAGTTGTGTTAGACAAAGACCTTCAGTATGGGAAGAAACCGATTGCAATTCTTGATCGTGACATCTGAAAGCTGAGGACCAAAGAGATTAAGTCCATGAAAGTTCAATGGAAGAATCGCCCAGTTTAGGAAGCTACTTGGGGGATCGAGAAGGACATGCGAGACAAGTATCCCCAGTTGTTTGTCGATTAGGTACTACTCCATTCTTACTTTAGCCCATTTTCCTAGTTTGTTACTCGGGGATGAGTGATGGGTAATTTGGTATCTATTGTAACGACCTATTTTCTTCATTATAGAAAAGCCAACGGAAATATTTTTTGGGCCGGAAAACTTTTTCATAGTAACTTGGAATTTCCCAACCTAGTCCAGATTTGGACAAAATCGGAGTCAGTAAGGTCTAGGCAATTCTGGTAACAATTGGGTAATCTAAATATGATTTTTATCACATGAGTAGATAGCTAAGAAGTCAAGGAACCCGTAAAACTTTATTGAATTGAATTCGGGAGAGAAGAACTCCAAGAATTAATCTTAGCATGAACGGGTATTTTCTGAGTGTCGTGGGATGAAGGTGTGTTGTGAAATGGGGGTTTTGAGCTCTTAATTCGACATTCCATTTCTGTGCAAGACGATGTGGTGGGATTCATTCCGCCAGGGCGAGGCCGATGTGGGGGTTGGAGGCAGCCACAATGGGACAATCGTGATTTAAGTCGGAAATAAACCCCAAAATCATTTTGATTTGCACTTTTCAAATTTGAGAGCTAGGAGACGACCCCAGGTGAGTTCTTGACCATTTTTCACCATTATTAAGGTTAAAGGTAAGGTTTTAACTCTCGTAATCCATTTTTTGATCCGTAGAATGTAAACTAGTGGGTAATTATCGATTCGAGAAGGTTTTGATCTGGAAATTATGGTGGAAAAAACCCTAATCTGGGTATGGGGATCAAGGGTTTGATTTAGGGTTGATATTATTGATTAGAATCTGGGTAATTGAGTCTTTTTTATTAATCCTTGTAATATTATGATTGTTTGTAAACCAAGAACAAGCAGAAAGGGGATTCAAGCATTGTTCGAGGTAGGTGATGGTTGTGATTTCATGTTGTGTAATATATGTTTGTTCTTGCTTCATTATGATGCATGTATGTATGTGAATGTTGCATTATTGATCACACAAATCGTAAATGAGGATAGTTGAATGATTGAATGCCATGAATTATAACTTGATTGTATGATTATGACAATATGCTTGTGATTGTGATTGTGGATTGTTAAATAGATCGGGTGTTGTGTTCTGACACACTAACTGGGATCAGTTGCCACGTACCGGCATAAATATTAGAACGGGTGTCATGATCTGACACGTTAACTTGGCATCGGTACCACGTACTGGTACACTAACAGTTTGGGTATGGGTTCCATGAGTGGACCATTGACTTGACATAACTGTGTAATTTGAGAATTGTGAACTTGATCGTTAATCATAAATGATAATGATATTGTATATATTCAGTGTATGCCTGTTATTATTATGTTGTAATGGCTTATGTATGTTCCACTTAGTGGGATAGTTGTGTGATCCTACCAGTACACGATGGTTGTGTACTGATACTACACTTGCTCTTTATTTGTTGAGAACAGGGCATCTTCCGAAGGC